GTGGTCTGTCTCTCTTGCTCTGGCTCTCAGTTGGTCTGCAGGTGGTGAGCAGTTGTATCATTTGTTTTCTTTTCCATTATTTTCACTGCACATTATTAGTACTCTTAGTATTACTGGTACCATTATCTTATTTCATTTACTTTCAATTATTAAATTGTACTTGCCTCAACCTATGAGTTTCCTTGTCTTTTCCTCTGATTCTCCTCCTCCACTGGAGGAAGGGGAAGGTGAGCAAGTGGCCGTGTGGTACTTATTTGCTGACTGGGATAAAACCATGACAAACATACACGAGACTCTACTGCATGCGTACCTGCTTCCTGCTTAAAGAAATTTTTAGGGTTCAGAATTGACCTAATCCTAAGGCTGTTGAATTACACAGAAACAGTCTTACTCAGCTAGGAGCAAGGTCAGATGAGCTTTGATGGGTTGTTTTATCAGTGAAATACACAGTACAATCAATGGTGATTTTTTTTGTTGTTGTTTTGTCCAGCTTTTGATAACTATCATTTTGTGTGCTTTTCTATTTCTTTTTTTCCCTGAGATAATTACTTTTTAGTATGGAATAATATTTTGTTAAATCAGATGATCTTTTACTCTGAAGGAACTCACTATGATCTGAGAAACACCTCTGGATACCCAGTGAAGAGTCTTTGTATCTAGAAATAGTACTAATTAAATTATGAATACATCCCTTTAGAGATTTTTAGGAGCATCAGGTAAAAGGAAAAGAAGTGAGGTAGTGTTGGATCTGTGGGAGGACAGTGAGGATGGGAGTTGGACAGGTGATCATGCAGACTTGTATTACAATGTTTTCTGTGCTATGAACAATGGATTGTGCCCTTGCCCTAAAGGGTTGACCTTTATATATATGTGTGTGTGTCTGGTCACGTGGGATGCAGAGAAGCCAACATAATGTTAAAGTTGAATAAATCTATCTACAGGCTAATCTGCTTCAAAAAATTAAAAAAAACATCTAATTGAAGGGTATTTTCTGTTTTTTCGACAAGTGAACAATTGTCCCTTTATAGATGCATGCAGTGCATTGAGGGGAATTAGAATACCCCAACAAACAGTATCGATCCTAATAAAAAATTTCCACATAAATATGTAGCTTGTCTCCATGAGCATCCTTGTCCTCATTGCCATTCAGTTTAATTCTCTAGTTTTCTCAGGGATGTGCTTTCTGGAAATCTCTTTTGGTCCTTTAAATTATTAATGTCATTAAAATTTATAATTTTCTGTCATTACCTCTAGGAAAATAGAGATTGTAATGTGAAACATAATTGTCTCATTTTGCAATTTGTGTTATGATAGCTGAGCACAACTAGAGCAGATTTAAATATTCCCCTGAGCAGTATGGTTACGTATTATAAACTAACCAAAGTTCTTTGTGTGCAGATAAATAAATAGATAAATTAATTCCCCAAATGACCAATATTTGTGTGCAAATAAATAGATAAATGAACACCACAAATTCTTGAAGAGTAAACTTTGCCATTAATGTGCCACGTGAACAGAAAATGCAGTGTTTAAAGGAATACTCTTTCAGTGCTGAGTCCGGGTGGTGACAACTACTACTAGCCTGGGTAAGTAGTCAGTCTTACACTTAATGTCTGCCCACCAAAATATTTAGGTGATCCCTAAAATATCATAATAGTGAAATTCTTTCCCTTAGTTAAGGAAAAATCCAGGATAAGAGCATTTATCTAAGAGAACATCCTCCCTCCATCCTCATTCAAGAAATTGAATATTCGCAGGCCTAAGTGCAAACTGCTATTAAAGGTGCCAAGTGACAGTTAGGCTCTTTAACCTTCCTTATGGCATATCCCTGAAGCAAGCAGAAGCCACCATTTATGTTAAGTAAGGATTTACCTTGTGTTGAAGTAGCAATATGATGGGATGCTGAAAGCCAAAATGTGGTGCAAGGAGAGTGTGCCTGGCCCAGCCACCTGATAAGCTCTACTTAGAATGCAGCATACATACATGTTTGAATAGTAATTATAGTGTGCTGTCCTGTGCTGTGTAATGATCCAAGAACAAGATGGGAAATTTGGGATACATCTGTTTGGAGGGAGGCAGGGACCGAAACTTCTAGGACCAAATTAAATTATTTGCTTAGTTTCTCAGTGTAGAGAAATTTTTCATATCATGTACAGGAAAGAAAGCACCTTACTTTTAAACAAATAACTAGAAGAATGGACTTTAATCAGAAGATCAATGTGAAATGTTTTTTCCCCTGTGACTCTGAGGCTTAGAACTATTTTGGGATATATGCTGTTATTCTGATGCGTGTAAAAGTAAGAGCCAACTTTACATATACTTGGTTTTGCTTTTTTGGTTTGCCTTTTTTCTTCCCCCATATTTATTACGGTTGGAACGCAGGTGACCTATCTGCAAATGATATTTAAGGTTTCATGTGCTGCTAAGCCAGGAATATCCACTTTCTGGAAACAAGTCTGCAAGGCCTGTCTGCATCAGGCAGGAAGGAGGGGTGCAGTCCCCTGGCCCAGAAAGTCACAGCCAGGCTGCTCCAGGATGAGGGATGGTGGTGACCTGCTCCGCTCTGCGGTTCAGGCACTCAGCCACGCTCTCCTGCTCCTGGACCTGCCCGAGGTGCCCTGTGACGCTGCCTGCAGCTGTACTGCCCTGTGAGCTGTGGCCCACAGTTACGTTCAGCTTCTAGAGCACCAGCTCAACGATGCAGACAGACCTTTTGTTCCCAGCTCTTCCAACAACTTCTTTTTCTATGCTTTTACATTTCTAAAAAGGAATCCAGTTTCTAAACTGAATGGATCATTTGTTAGTATGAATGTCCATCAGCTGAAAAAGATTACAGGAGCTTTGCTCCTTTTGGCGTTATGTACTGAACTGAGGCATTCAAGGATTTAGCTACTGTCAGCTGTCCGCATGGAAAAAAAGTGGCACTAATTGGATTTAGCCCAATTTAGGTCCTGAGTTTCTCTCCAGAGGCTCCTGTTCTTCTCCTCTGGCTGTACAGTAACTGAGCTTTTACATTCAGGACTCACCTGGTGCCTACAGCTGAGTGGGAAGAACCTGGGTTAACGTGTCATACGTAATGGATCTCCTCCACTACCCAACTTCTGCAAATCCCACGGAGGAAGCAGTTCTGGTCTGCTACATTTAGGCTTACATGTCTTAAGTCAAGCATTTTGACACAGGTTATGAGATGTCTTTGAAAGGCTGTGCATCACTGGGGGAAGATACAAGATGTGAGGTGAACTTAAGATGTGGGTGATTCTTGACGGTTTTTTTTTTCTTTCTTCCTATTTCCAGCCACTCGTGAGTTTGCCTGTCTAGGGGGTTATGAGTTAAAGCTATCCCATAAAGTGTGTCTCCTCAGACCACAGCTTAGACACTGTGTGGTTTTAACACCCCTCAGCCCCGCAGAAAAGAAATCCAAGGCAGCGGTCTGGAGGGATCTGTAGAGCTTGTGGGTATCCTTCGGTGTCTCCCTGCAAGGACACAGTTGCTGTCCAGCATTTTCTATTAAGCCTCAAAATCTTTGGCTTCTGTAAGAATATATTTATTTTCTGATTTTCTGTTTTCATGCCACACCAGTTGGTCTGTCGTTAATACAGTGAATTTCACCTTCTGCAAAGTTAAAAATTCATGTTCCTAAAAAATGATGGGAAATCGGCAAAGAACTAAACTGAGCCAAAGCTACAGTACTAGTCAACCGTAACAAGTAATTATAATAACCCCATGGTCATTTCTCTCACAGCTTGACAGAGAAAATGGCAAGAAAACAAAATAATTTTTTTCTTGAATGTTAAAAGTACGGGGTCAGGTTCGCTTCTGCCGATGACCCATCACAAGGTGTGGGCCCTGTTCACGGCGTAGGTACAGCAACATGAATTGTTTGCAGCCCCCTTCCCTGCAAGGGGCTGAGAGCCACCCAGTGACGGCTGGGTAGTGGGCTGGTCCAGCTGTGCAGTGAATGTGTGCTGATGTGACTTACAGCTGCTGCTGGGGCAGGGGTAAGGAGCTGTGTGGGAGGTAAGGCTGCTCCCTGGGGAGGAGGCACTGGGAGGGAGCCACTGCCTGTCCTCCCTCACAGTGAGCTCCTGGCAAGAAATAACCATCACAAGCTCGTACCACTCTCATGGCTTCAGGATTGGCTAAACCTATGAATTTCACACTGTTTATCCTGGGGTAAAAGAAACAGGCTTTGGTTTTGTGCTTTTATAAAATACAAAATATATAAAGCATGTAGTTGAGTTGGCTTCAGTTGCAATATAAGGGCAGTAGATGCAGGCTGTGTCCCAGGGTGGATTAGGAGGCTGGGACACGGAAAGGTCTGCAAAGATGCTTTAGACAGTGAGAAGCCTGGAAAGAAGAGAAGCCTGGCCTTGTGATCTCCTTATATCCCAAATTATTCTGTGTGCAGAAACTTGCATTCCTAAATGTGTCGATCGCTTCCATGAAGTTTCTCCTATTTTTCATTTCCTAATACAGGTAACCTTAAAAGACTTTTTGGAGTCATTATCAGGATTAGTCTGCAGAAATGATCTACTGTTTTTATGGGAAAACTACTTTCTTGTAATGTTGTTCTCCATTGTAAGGGACATATTTCCTAAAGACAGTTATGTTTTCCATTTGCCATTTTGTTCTGAGGGCGCAGTGAGGGTGTATTCTGTTAAACCAAAACTCTGTCTCTATAAGTTTGGGTTGAAGACTATTATACTTAGAATCCTATTGAGACTACCTTGGTGCTTTTCTATGAGACACTACCTCTGAAGTATGTTAATATTGCCAAGATAGAGGGTACTGTGTTAAGCTGTTACCTTTTGTTTCATATGATGTGTAAAGAAATACCATTGCTATTAAACACAAAATAAGAACATTTGGCCTAGTCTAAGCATGCGTGTCTAATTTTTTTCTTCCATTGTCTTTTTAAAATCATTTATCCAGTAATGAAAGGAATATATAAAATGTCTGGAGAAATACATGTTTTTAAAAGACTGTGTCTCCATTCACAGGAAATCACTGATAATGAAATATTAGAGTTGGTACATAGTGCTCTGGGGAGGATGACAGTTATCCGGCAAATTTTCCCTCTCTCAAGGGACAACAATCAGAGATGCATGAGGAACAACCACCGAATATCGTCTCTGCTGTGTGATCCACAAGAAGGCTATCTTCAGATGCTGCAGGTCAGTAGCTGTGCCCAGCAGAAAAGTCCATCCTAAGAATTTGACATGAGGGAGTTTCCTGTGACTGTCTTACCTCAGAGGAAGAATAAAATTACAGATAAATCTGAGCATGTAACCTTTGGTCAGTTTTTCCTGAGTTATTTATTTATTTTATTTCTCAGGGCGGGGTGCTTTAGATGTGAAGTTACATTCATGAAGTACCAACAGGTGATTGCACTAACTCAGAGCTGATTTTGCATATTTCATTCTCTTAAGAATCTTTTCCTGTTTGAAAAAAGAAATAGTTGTGCTGTCATAGTTTTGTGGTGTTACTTCCTGCTTATTATATGTATGCCTATTAGACATCTGTTGTGAAAGAGTTAATCTGGCGAGGGTAACAGAACTCTGATAGGTATTGGGCTGTGGAGCATTTCATATTTAGTTAAATGGACTGAATCCAGCTGATGTATTCAATCTGTCCCGTTCCAATAGTCTCAGAAGTCTCTAGCAGCTGATAATTGTCTGAGCGTGTGAAATATGTGCTACTAGTTCAAGTTCCAGATTTTGGTAACAGATTTGACTCTGGTGTAGCAACATCGCAAGATTTCTTGGCAATTTATCCCAGTTATCTGAATTTTTCTAGCAGTAATTTAAATATAATTTTAGGTGTTATTTCCAAGGATAGTGCAATAATTTAGAAACACGGGTCTTGGATTTTCATTGGGACTCCATGTGTTTCTGGTTTGCTTCAGACACAGTTAAGAACCTCATTTGTATCACTTTTGAAGCTGTTGGGTAAAACTGAGAATTTTAGTGTGATGATCAAGATAAGCTTGATTACAACCTTTTTATTGCAGACGTAGTCTTAACCTGAGGTGGACTGAGTGAAGGCGCAGTGGTTGAGCCCGTGAGTTGGGAAGCGTGGGTGTTGTGTGTGAGCGTGAGTCTAGAAAGGGCTAGTTAGGCTGTGCAGAGGGGGCTGTTGGCAGCCTGGTAAGGAAGGTGGTGTGGGGTGAGGGGTCCTTCCATGTGCTGGCTTGGAAGTACTTCTGAAGAGTCAAGTGTGAGGCTTATGGGAAACCAGGAGAGGTAGGGAGATTCTCAGGAAGAGAAGTGGATAGGTCAGTATTTTCCAAGGAATGTCATTGGGCATGTTCGTTTTGCTTATTTGTGCCCTACTGAAAAGTTGTAACTGCAGAGATTGAAATTCTCTGAGGGAGGGATATGGATGTTTTCTCCTTGCTGGCTTGGATTCTGTTATAGTGGTGGCAAAGTTTGGGAAATGCCAATCACATGCACTAATTCTGAGCACTGGTCTATTCTTTCTGTACAGGGGAAAGTCTGTGCTTGTCTTGGGTTAGAAAGAAAAGACACTTTTGATCTTTGTTAGTAACTCTGAGGTATTCAGTAACGAGAACAAAGGCCACTCATTTCAGGGGATCAAAGCAATTTCCAGTATATTGAAAAAGTTATCTATCCTGCACTAAGAAATCACTCATTGGGGAACAATCTTGCATTACAGCAGGATTTTGAGTATTGCTGTCTTTACTGGTTTATGCATAATCTAATTCAGAGACTCAGCTGAAGGGCTCTGGCAGACCTCTCTGAGCAAGTTTTGTTTTGCTAAAGCAGTAACTAGTTTACTGGCATGAAAAACGTCCTGCGCTGTTAATAAA